AGGAACAGCTCTTCTGCAGTTGTGCTTCTCTTGCCTGCAGAATGACTGTGTCATAGGTTGGGTGGCTCTGAAAGCACAGATGGGCTTGGTGTGGTTAGTGGTGGTTAATCAGCCTCTGGTCTGATTATTGGTGGTGGTGATGGATGGCATTAGACCTGCTGGAGGTATCAAGGTGCTGGTAACCTGCACAGAAAGAAGCCTTTTCATGTTGGGGAAACTCGGACTCCTTGAGAGTCGGGAGAAGACCAGATGATGAGAGATCAAGAAAATGCAGTAGATTTAGAAAAGAGAAAATGAAATGGCAGACCTGTCTGCAGCCATCACAGGAAGCAAATGACAGCAAAACTGTTCAAGTTGTCTAGAAATGTGAATACATAATATTCATACTCATGGTAACTGGAGAGAGGGAAAAGATAGCAGAGAGATTAAAGGACTTAAAAGTCTGAAGGGGAGGAAATCCATAAACAAATCCCCTTCCTATAGTCTAGGAAAGACACAAAGACATATGCAGCTCAGGCAGATTGGACCAGAGAGATAAAAAGGAATGACAGGAGAAATGTAAAGAAAAACTCCTTGCAAAACCAGCAAGTAGTGGAGAAAAGTAAAAAACAGGCCTTAAAACCCAGTAATGGTAATGCATAGGTACACATTCCGGTGATTGATGGCCTTAGCTTGGCCTGAAAAGGTCTTTCTATGAAACTGTTAAATGGAACCTATTATTGAACTTACATATTGTTTAAGGTTGTCTCCATATCATCCCTGATTCAGCCAAAATGCTTGGTATGTTTAGAGTTAAGACATGAGAAAGAATCGTGTTCTTAAGTCCTATTATATTGAATTAAAATTCGGGACATACTTATTTCAACTGTTCTGCAAGTGGGTGAAGGTAGTCTTAAAAAGCAATCTTAGAAAGAACTAACTATCATGAATATTTATGGAGTGGCTTGTACTGATGAAGAAGATTCTAGATATATAAAGAGCTTCTAATATTCTGTTTCAGAACAACAAATTTTTTTGTCTCATAACTGCAAATCTGTTCAGGAATATGAAAACCAGCGTACTGCAGAAGCCAAGTTTGTAAAGCAATTGGATCAGTGCGAGATGATACTGCAAGCATTTGAATATGAAGAGCTGGAAAACACACCTGGCAGACTGCAGGATTTTTACGATTCAACTGCTGGTACGACATTTGGGCTTTTTGGGGTTGTTTTTTTCTTTTTCTTTTGTAAATTAAATATACAAATTGCCTTTTCTCAGATAGATGTTCAGAGCAAGTGAGAGCTGATTATTTCACTCATTGCTCAAGTACCTTAAACACTTCTGGGGAAACAATGCAGAATGAAGATACCTTACTTTTATATATAGGTATTGAACCTGAATTTCATTTATGCCAAGTTCCTTTTACATCACTCTTTACCTTCCGTTACACTCACATACGTTTAGGTATCTCCCTGTAATACCAGAAGAGGGTATAGTAGAGGCTGGAGGCTTCACCGATGCACTGGCAGCAGCTTGTATCTAATTTGTTAGTGTTTCATGAACCAGTGAAGTAGAACTTGTTATCCCTCCATGAGCTGTGGTCTTGTGTGGTCTGTATGAGGTACATGCAAGAACCAGCTCAGTGAAATGTTTTAGGTGCAAACATATCACCTTTTATTCTATCCACTGCTTTTTGTCCTTCTCAAAATAAACTGATAGTTGAAAGGAAAAACAGGTAAAATAGTCTTTACTGTGTTAGCAAGGGAGTTGAACACCAGAAGAGGACTGTGGCTCCAAGTCATCCTGTCCTGGCAAAAAATTAGGGACAGACAGTAGTCACCAGTCAGTCTGGGACAAGTCCCATTTGTACCCTGGTGACTCCTCAGAAATAATAATCTCTCTGAAAAATGCATTAATTTGATTAGGGAAGAAGGGAAAAAAGAACAACATCAACAAAGCTGGAGTACTTAATTTTATAATTGACAACTTTGCCCTCCTACCATAATTCAGTAACTTAAACTGAGCTGGTGTCTCAGTAGAACCTGCAGCACGTGCCCTAAGGGCACCTGTAACTGGGGTGGTTTTGTGTAGCAGAATACACAGTGTGGGATTGTCTTGGTCAGGGTAAATCCCCTTTTTAGCTCTTAACGGTCTTAACGGAGCACAAAGTATTTCTATAAGTTTTTGGGTGAAGGACTGTGACTACTCTTGGGCATTCCATGGGTGGATTAAACTGGGAGTACTTGACATTTATTCAGAGCCTAAAGCAATGTCACTGCTAACGTTTCACTGCCAACCTTTTGCGCACAGGAAAATTAGAACATTTTTAACTAACTTTCCCTTTCTTCTGTTTTGCAGGGAAGTTTGTTCACCCTGAAATACTCCAGCTTGTATCTCTGATCAACACAGAAAGGAATAAAAAAATAGCTGCTACGGCTCCTCCACATTCCTGAGGTGCTCCTAAACACTTTAGCTATAATAAATACTTTGTTTTATATTCCATGTGTTGTATTTTCTCCTAATTGCTAATTCTTCTGGCAGATTTTTATTCCATGCATTTACTGTTGAGAATTCCAGGACCACTTAGATAGGAGCAGGTAGGACAGTTACCTCCTGGGTCAGTTTGTGTTGTAGACCAGATGTAGCCTCTGGTTGATGCAGTCCTAGTTACAAATAGATTCTGCACTGGGGAATTTCGGGTAAGTTTAAAAATCAGCTGATTGCAACCTAATCTATTCATGTAGTGCACTGACTGGGACAGGCAGTCCTGTTCTGTGACTCATCAGTATGTCTGCATTTAAGTTCCATCTGTATCAGATAGGATAATATTTGTTCATTGCACTACACAGAAGTGAAGACCAATAAAGTGTGTTTCTCAAGAAGCTCTTGGCAGAGGCAGACTTAGCAATGAGATCTCTTTGGAGTGCATAAGCCTTAAGAAGTGATGGTGGATAAAACTGGTAATCTCATTAATTAATTTTCTCAATGCTTCTGTTTCATGCAGTTTTTCCACTGTCCATGTGTTGTATCAGGGAACGGTGCTGATGTTTCTGGAAGGCCAGTACTCCTGACACTCCTTACCCCAGATGGGCAGTTCTAGAGACTCTTGCCACAGGTATCTGGTAACCACAGAATAGCCAAGGTTGGGAGCAATATTTTGAGTTTGCGGAGTCTAATGCAAAAGCGCTGGCTGCCCCTGTTCAGGCTGTGACAGTTTTTAGTGGAAGTAATAACGCTAATGTAAAAGTACCGTATGGTTATCAAGTAAAGCTGTAGTCGTGGCAAATGCCATTGTGAGGCCAAGTGTCTGCGCTACTAACTGTTGCGTCATGTGTGCAGCTGGAGACTAGGGTGATGCCACAGTTACTAGATAAGGAAGGCTTGCACCTGGAAAAATGACATGGTAAAGACCCAGAGCTAGCTTGCTTGACTTCAGCCACATGTCAAATGAGGCAGCATAAAACTAAATTCAGTGCCATCCCCTTTTAAAGGTAGGTAATGTAGCTGAGCACATACCTTCAGGCACCGTGACTTGGAAACGTCTCCTTTACACAAACATCAGGGGCCTGCCCCACGCTTGTGCTGTGTTCTGCAGCTGGTGCAGAGCTGGTGGGAGCTCATGCCTTGGTGGCTGGCACTGTGCACAGAATCTGCAGAACATGTTGGTCCAGCTGAGATGTGGGATGCCCGCTCTGCACAAAAAACCCCACAAGGCAGCAGTTGTGCCCTGTGGGAACCCCAGAAGAACAAGATGAGCTTTACTAAGCAATAGAAAACTTGATTAATGGTTATCAGCGGCTGATTGTTAGACCACAGGGGTGATGGAGTGGGGCTCGTGAAGCTTTAGTGATTTTATTCCACTGAGAAGCATACAAATCATAGACACCATTAGCTTGCACTGAATGCCAGGCATGAAAGAGCTACAGATGCATTAGAAGACAGAAATGAGAACAAGTGGCCTTAAAGGAGGTGTTTGACAGAAAGCCACACAGCATGTGTGCTACCCCAGGAGGACCAGTCTGTTCCTCCAGTACTACAGGAGGCTTTAGTGGCTGGGGATCCAGGGGAAGGATGGCATGCTGGGCCCAACCAGCTGCACAGTGGTGCAAGAAAGGTAAATACCAGCCTGGAACACAGAGATGTGGTTTGAGTGTGAGTTGGGTAGGGTTTGGTTTTGTTTGAACAAATCCAGCGGGTGCTTCATGTACAATTACATTCCTGTCTACTTGCTGCAGCTCTAATCATGTGTTAGGTTTGGGCACTGCATTTTAACAGAATGAGGGAGCTAGCCGGAAAGAGGCTGGAAGGAAAGCATGCTTATAAAGTATGAACCATGAGGGCTCATGAAGTGAGGCTTCAGGTGGTATGAAATGCACTGTTCACGTGTAGAAGTGTACCAAGCCCTGCCCATGCCACCTGTGAGGGGAGACCACCTCCTCTCCTGATCTGTTCGTATCAGCATCAACCTTACGCATAGTGGCAGCTGCTGTAGTGACAATAATGTGTTAAGGACTGCTGTGGAAGAGAAGCTCGTCTGATCAAGCTTGTCTGGTCCTACACAAGCTTTTTGAATTACACTCTTACTAAATGTAGTTAAAAGCAATATACTGCTTTTCCATAAGCATTTGTCTATGTGTATATATATACACATACATAAATATGTAACTAAAATGAGGTCTAGATTGATGTTCTGTAGAAGGTGACAGTCCTTGAACTCCATGTTCTAATTTTGGTTTGGCTGCTGTCCCTGCTCAAAACAAGGTCATAGACCTAGAAGATGTTTTCTATCCTGTGCTTCACTTTTACTGAACAATTATTTTTCTCCTTTGAACCTTGACATTTTCAAAACTTAGATGACACTTTCATGGGGAATTTCAGGGCCAGGAGGAACTGAACAGATTTAAAAAACTAGGAATGAAGTTTTGCTATGTCACCAGAGTATCAAGGTAAACTGCAGTGCTTAGAGATGCACAGTAAGACTGGTAGAGACACAGAACTGGAAAGAAAACATCACAAAGTGCAAGAGAGAATTTATTTTTAATAAGAATATCAATAACTTAATTTACACAAAATTGACCAGGAGTATCTTCTTTAGTTAAATAAATTCATGTTTATGCACAAACCCACTTAAAATAAGCTAGCAAATTGTCACAAGAAACCTGAACTACAAAATACTAATTAGATTTGCTTCCATGCTAAAAATCACACTAAAGAGGCATTTGATATAAATATCCAAAGTTAACTTATGTCCCGTAGAACATTACAAAAGGACTTCCAACTCTGCATAAACTATAACAAAAGCCACGCGGGGAAAAAAATCACTTAAAGCCAACTTTTCTCACAAGATTTTAAGCAGTCTGTAACTTCACACTCACTAACACTGATTTGAAGCTTTGGCTATGCTAAAAATCCACATCCATTTTGAAAGTAGCCAGACTCTTTTCCCTCCTGTTTATACTTTACTGTGCTCATCTCAGTCTGGTGAACCGAATAATGCAACATGCAGACTGTCACGTGCTCACTAGACAGCAAGGGAGTGTCACAAGTGTGCTGCACTTCGGAAGAATGTTAAAAGGATGCAAGCAAACATGCTGAATCAATCAAAGCTGAGAGATGGCTGGCTTCTGGTGATCAGGCAGATAGATATAATGTGGTAGGTGGGATTATGACCTGCAGTGAAGCATGACAAAATGTGACACCAAGAGTAAAGTCCCTATTCATCCTGGGTGTTGTAACAATTTTATGCTAGCAGCTCTGGAACGTGGGCCGAAGGCATGGGTGCCCTAACCTATGGCACATCTTACGCCAAGTGTTGGGTTTGTATTCTTTCACTTAAGGCTGTGTTTTGACTGAGGCTTATAAATCCCTTATTATTTGAAGAGATGGAGGCAAAAATATTAGAGGTTCCCTCCACTCCACCTCCTTCTGTAATTAATTTATACTGTCAAGTGTTAGCAAACCAGAGAGCAAGCAATGGTAATTTTAAAACTGAAGCTTTTCCAGTTACAGTGACCACCTTGTGATCAATACAGTTTTCATATGAATTACTAAGGTGTCTCCTCCTGTCTTCCTCAACTCTGCTGACTAATGGGTGGAGGGCAACACCAGGCTGTACCAGTGAAAGAGAAAAAACCTTTTGTGACAGTAAGTGATTTTAATTCCGTTAGGAAATAGACCATGTACAGACACTCCTGATCAAAGGGCACGTGGTACACCTGGTAGGCGGCTGGTATAGGGACTCATGCTGGCAGTAGGAATCATTGCACAGCTCTGGGTCCATCTGTCTGATATGGCACTGAGAGGGGAGTTGGAAACCAACAGAAAACTGAACTAAAGAAACAAACTGGGGGAGCGTTGGAGGGAAGTTAAATGAAAACTCTTTTGGTCACATAACGTAGTATTTAGAGCATTTCAGTCAGTGACTTGCATGTGGTTTCTATGGTGTACAAAGTACCTGATGATAAAATGGCCCATCAAAAATACAAACAGGAAAAGTTTCTCCAGTGCAAGGCCAGGAAGGCAACTGACAAAACCTGGTTGCACAAGTTGGGTGGTGGGAGAGGTCTGAAACTCACTGGCTGGGCAAGTCTCTTCAGAGAGGCCTGTGAGGCTCAGGAGCGCTGCAGTCTAACACTGAAGCTCTTCTTCACTCTCAGGAACTCGGGTGCCAGCAAGAGAGCTCTGAGCGCTGGCATGGGCTGTAGAGCTGAGAACTTCTTCAAAACTGCCCCCTGTGTTGCTTGTCCCACCAACCTTGGTCTGAAATACGGCAAAAAAAAAGAACAGCAAGTTCCTCTGCTCACACTGTAGCCAAGTGCCATTTGCATTCCACCTCAAGGCCATGAAGGGTTGAGAACTGTTCAAAGCAGGCAGAGAACATGCGGGATTGGGTTCTCCTTAGAACAAAAGCCATAAAAACATTCAAATAAAGCACCCCCTTTCCTTCTCTAGGGCGCAGTCATAAAATCTGCCAGTGGCACTTAACATACACCTAAAGGAACCAGTCCCTAAGCAGATCCTGGGCAGGATTCCAGATCTACCAGTAAACTTAGTGTGGTTCTATACGTGAGTAGCTCACACTGGTTTCACTGTTTTTTTTTTTTGAGTTCTAAAAGGCTGGATAAAAGATGGGTATTGAAATGATCTGGTTCATTTGCTGAGTGAAGTGGCCCATCACCAGCAACAGTAATACAGCTGCTCCCAAAATACATAAACTGTACTGGGATTTTGGACAGCAGAAGGAATATAGTAACCAAAAACCAAAACCAGCGGCTTGCCTCCCTGTGGGTACTTGCATCTGCCTAGATACTGGTATATATAAAACTGCCCACAGCATTTTCATGTGGGGAGGGGAGAGGAAAAGATACCAAATTACATTAATGATATTAATGAAATTAATACCAGTGTGCTCACAGGTCATCTACTTTCAAAATGCTTCAGTTTGCTGACCTTGTTAATACAAGTATTAAAACCAAAACCCAGTATGACTAAATCTCTGAAAAAGAGTTTTCCTAACAAAAACAGAGCTCTGGGTAAAAATCTGGAAATGGTCAAGAGTAAGCGATGAAGAGAAAGTAGTTTTGACCAGGTTGTCGTGTTAAGAGAATGTTCTTTGGTGGTTCACCACCAAATGATGCCCACTTGAAGTTGATTCAAACCTGAAAATAGGGCAAAACTTTTTACTCCACCCTATAACTGCTGCAGGACGTAAAGACAAGCTGGCATTTTTCCAGTCTGTAAGCTACTAAATGTTTAAGAAGATTATTTTAATTAAATGAACTTTATGTCCTCAGTTTCCAAAGGATTCTGTGTAATCCTTTGTTTCATCAGCTAGCACAGGAGCTGGCCTAGCTTGAAAGTTCAATAAAATAAGGTAGTAGTACTAGGCTTGATATTTGCTCTGACAGTTTGAGTCACTGCTATTAAAAGTTCTCATCCCCAGAGGTAAAAATGTGTATCCAGTCTAATGGGCTGTGCCGACTTCCAGAACGTACCAGTCCATCCCTGGTTTTTGCAAACAGCAATACAAAACACATGCATTGTTAAACGTTGGGAGGCCCAGAACTTACAGTGAAAAGGAGCCACTGCCTAGTAAAGCTACTACTACATTTTCATGGCAAAACTAATGACTTTTATTTGCCAATTAAAGTTCTCAATTGATTTGGATCGATCAGCGTGATTGTGAAAGCAGACTATTCCTGCACTGTTTTAAATGACTCAGTAAGGTGCATCTGAATTTGGACGCCTCACAAACATTAATGCAGTTTCATTTTCTATTTGCCTTTCTGCCTATTCTTCCATATGAAAACAAGAATAGTGTATGTTACTTTACTGAATGCCTCTGGCCAATACTCCTGTGTGTACTCAATCAACTTTTTGTTTTGTCCTGCTTAATCAAAGATTCCTTAAAGGATGATCAAAGAGCCCTCTGAACACGACTGGCTAAGAACTGGCATGACAGTCTCCCCTGGAAGACCATCTTTCCTTAACCAGGAAAACAAGATCAGGCTCCTCAAGCAGCTCACTGTGAGAAGTGGTCTTCAGAGCCGTGCAGTTTGAATTGACTTTCCCTCTTTCTGAATGACGCATTGAGGCAGCAGGACACATGCACTCCTCCCTTGATGCAGAAAGGACATCGCTCACATTTGTCCTTTACCCCTCAGAACGAGGCAAAAAGCTTTTAAGCTGTCCCTCTCACAGGTTGGCCTAAACGTAAGATGAACAGATTTGTGGAGTCTAGAGCAGTCTAGAAGCAAACTTGGGAGCTAGAAGTACTACTGAAAGCCCTGAGAGGAGGTTTAGTGACTAAATGGGTACAAAAAGTACTTTGCTTTTCCAATTGGTGAGTGGTGAAAAAGGAAGAAAAAAATCCATTTCAGATCTCAGGAGTTACAATGAACTGCATTCCCTATCTAAATGGGTAGAAGGCACACAAAGGGATAAGCAAGTGATATGCTTAACTGCAATAGACAGGAAATCAGACCTTCTAGGCTGATGCACCCCACTGGATGAATGATTTCTCCTACAGTGAGATTGAGTATAAAAAGCAGTTGCAGCTAAGGTGAAAAGAATGAATAAGAAAGCATATACAGGCACTAAACTGGGGCTCTGGAGGTCTGTGCTCTGTTCTAACTCCTTGGGATACTCCTAGTCTTCCCTGTGATGCTGCCTCCCACCTGTGAAACAGATGATGTTTTCTTCTCTGACACAGTGCAATGGAGATCACGCTACCCTACACCATCATGACTTACATGTTGTCGGAACAGCATATCACTAAATAACTGTGAACACTCAAAAGCTGAAAATACAGAGCAATTCTGAATTTTGATGGACATGCTTATTTAGAAACATAAAAATAAGTCAAACTCTGTGCTGCCTTTCCTCAGACACTGGAAAATCTTATGTGCTGTACAATTTCACAGTGGCAGGGGTAAGACAGACCTTCCATGTGCACCTGCTGCTTCTGTTCTAGCTGCAATCTGCACTTTCTCTAAGAAGGAATGTCCTTCTGTCCCAAGTGGAAGGCCATTTTCTCATCTTTTTAATGCTTTACAAGTTATAACATCCCTTTACCTTCACCTATTTTTCAACTGTATCCTCAGTTCCCCCTAAAATGAGAAGTCATAACCTGGCTTTTGTCCACTGATAGACTGTACTTGGAATGTGTTGGAATCTTTCTATCACAGCAAAGTAAAACGCCAGTTTATGAGAACACTTGACCTTATCTGATGAATAAAAACCATTAGGAAACAAACCCTCTTGTTCCCCACTTGAATGTGCCCTTCCATGCAGCAAAGATTAGCTCACTGCTCTGTCCTGCCAAGTGATATTGTCCTTAACAAGTGCTGTTAGTTATAACTGGTAACTGCCATCAGATCTTCCTGTCCCACAGCAAATTGAGTTTTGCAATTTTAAATCCAGACAAAACACTGCAATTTGAGAGGACGCACACCTGCATTGAAGAGAGACAGGTTCAGTGCTAAGAACCACACAGGCAGTGTGAGTCACACCAGAGCTACAGGACAGATGCCATCAGCTGAACAAGGGGCACCTGGTGAGCACATCTCTAGTACTGGCAAGGGGGTGGCTCAGGGATGGGACCACTTGTTTAATTTGGCAGACAGCAGAAGTAATTTCTTAGTAACAAAGCAGAGAAAGACTGTTTCTTTGGCCTTCATTTGCCATTGGTGTTCTGTGAATTTCTTGATGATCGAACGGCAAGTTCAATCAGTCTGTACAAATGAGAGACTAAGCTGTCACAATTTAACACACAGCCATGCAACTGCCTCTAACCTTTACCTTAAGGCTTGTGACAGTGGTCTCAACCTTCTCCTCAAACGATTTGAAAGTTGGAGAATTCCTAGGAAAAAAAAAGAAAGTGGAAGGAATTAAGAGTGAGTTGCAAATGCAAAGGCATAACTCCACAGTTTGACCAGTTCTTATCAGGCAGAAACAGTAGGACAGACTGAGGCCTGGCTAGCAGCACAGGGCTGTAGACTGATAGGGTATGAACAGTCACTTGTGCTCTGTCAGTCAAATCCAATTATGGTAATCGGATGAATATATTTTAGCTTCAAATTTGCAAAAGCAGAACCTGCCTAGCAATTGAAACCAAACTAGGTTGGCTACCCTGTTCCTACAAGGACAAACAGAAGCCACTTAGAAAAATAATGCAGATTTACCTTTTGTTCTGTTAAACAGGTGATAAAAGGGTCAAAAGGAGAGAGAAACTGAGTTTTATGACTTATATTTGACCGACAGGTCACATTGCTGAATGCCTGCCTTAAACTATCCACCTGCTGCAGCTGGATGAATTAACGTCCATCATGTAGTTAGGAGATTTGTTTTCCCCACATGCTTCGCAGGGAGTGGGGATATTCATATACGCAGAGGCCAAAGGGATGAAAAGAAAGCTAAATCCTAATTTTATTGAAAACAGTCAGCACTTTACTTGAACAGATATCGATATTTGGCTGCAGTCAAGTAAAGCATGATTATAGCCATTAAAACATGAAGGCACTCATATAAAATCCCTCCATTTGAACACGATCCAACGCCTGCTGGAGTGGAAAGCATCTCTGACATTAATGAGCTTTGGATGATACTCTAAAACAGCAGTTCAGCAGAACAACTGAATTTCAGATTCAGTAATACAAACCTGGTAACAATCAACTATCCCAATACATCTCAGAACTGCTTCATCTACTCAAAGGCTTGTGCAAGAGATTAACTAGTTAATACAATTAAAAGGAAAAAGAAAACCCACAGATGGCCTGTCCTACAGTCCTTATCTACATGAGCAACCTTAATTGATTGAAGTGGGACTCTTCATCCGACTAAAACCTGCAGGATCAGGATCTAAGTATGCAAATCCCCCCTCATTACACTGCTGAACATCACCATAGCAAATAAAATATGGGTAGCGTATTACCTCATTGCAGGCATGCTTATGGAATGGCGAATAGAGTAACTGTGGAATAAAAGCAAAAGATAAGGAAAAAAGCTGCAAAATCCAGTTTGCAACATGACTATAATATTTTTTTAACTTAAATTTTAAAATGTATTTTATACATTTATATATTTATTTATTTAACTTAAATCTTAAAATGCATATACATATTTTTAAGAGTGCTGGTACTTTTCCTCTCCTGATGGCAACAGCTTGTTGCCATCCACTCACCTGTGGATTCCAGCTCTCGTTCAGCACTGAAGATCTTACCACCACATTCTCATGACAACTGATCAGCAATAGGGCTCAAAACAATGCCAAACAGTTCCTGGCAATACCTATTTAAATGGCTCAGACCCCTGCTATCTACAGACATGCAACATGTGACAGAGGAACAGTGGGCTACCTCTGTGCTCCACAGTGGCAGATGATAACCTCTGCTAGATGAGAGCAGTACACCTTGGGTTTGTGAGCACAGACAGAGCCAGTTTGAGGCAATAGGTAAGTAAGTCAGCAGCAATTGCCTTTGTTGCATGTTCAGTGTTTACAGTCCAAATAGCCAGTGCTGGCCCCCAATTTGTATGGGCTCCTGCACAATATGTTACCTAAACAAGAGGTTTCTTCAGCCAGATATGCAGCTGCAGCAGCTGCTGTACTCATCTCTGCAGGATGTTTCACCTCGTTCTTCACACCTCAACATTACCAAGGCTAGAAAGCTATTTTCCACAGCTCTTGGCCATCTCTCCTTGCAACGCTTCCCTCCTCAGACTTCCCGGCAGCGAGAGGATTGGAAGGCTGTCAAATGAAGGATGGAGTCTCCGCATCACTCAAAAATACCCCAAATTGTCTTGCAACTTTAACCCTGCATGTGGCTGCCCACTTGGCTTACATTAGCCATGTTCATCCACCTGAATCACCAAAGCCAACTCTGCTATCACAGCATCACCTATTCCTTGCTTCTGGGAAGCATCAAGCCTGTCCTGAATATGGATCTTTATTTGAAGTACAAGAATCATCCATAAGTGCATTTAGATTTGAACACTGAAAGTAAACTGTGCACTGCAAGAGTATGTACTGTTTCAGAAGTTCGTGCTTGGCTGCTTTCAGTGTTGACTGACAGCTGCAGCCTGCTCTGATTGAGAACAGCGAGAGCTTTACTTTGAGGGCTACCAACATTTGGCTGCAATCAAGCAAAGCATGATTACAGTATTAAAAAATGAAAGCTCTATATAAACAGCACATGTGCTTGTTCTGAGCCATACAAATTCAGAGCAGCATTATGTCCGTATCCACACAAAGGATTATTTTTTTTCCAGATTAAAGATTCAGAAACGGGGACAGGAAGGAGGAGAGAGCTATTTGGCAAGCAGGTGGGACAGAGATCTTATACAAACTGTTTGCTGTTGGGTATATTTCGAGTATTCTGCTAAGCTCAGATAGACGAGAACTAACAGCAGACAATGCAAATGTTTCATGTTCAGTTTCTCACAACATTCTGAAGACTTTCAAAAGATTAGCCCAAACATTTCAGAAGTGCAGCAAATCCATCCTAGTTAAATTAAACAAGCATGCTTACCATTTTAGTCTTTTAACACGTGACAAACAGGCAAGAACAAGAGTTTGGAAGCATTTCAGCATAGCCTGCTCCTCTTCTAATAGCAAAATATTCCAAATACCATCTTTTAAGTAAGATTACATTGTGCCAAATTAGATTTGCACAGCTGAGAGATGGCGTGTGACAGACAATCTGAATACTAAATGCATACTTTATTGAATTCATCTTTTTATTTCTGAGGAGGTAAGGAAGTTATAGGAACAGTAACATCATCTTTTACTAGAAGCCTAAAATGTTAAGCTTTTTTAAAGACATACATGTCTGTGATCAGTGCAGAGGCAGAAAACGGAGATCCTTCATGACAAAGGATCCATGTTTTGGTTCCATGTCAGAGTGAAATAGGAAAGTCAGTCTATGCTCCATTTTGAAGTTCTCGGTGAAGTAACAGTTCATGTTAGGATCACTTAGCTGAACAGAAAAAACTGTTCTTGAGCTGTCCTGTGCACTTGGGATGCTACAAGGGCAGAGAGACAGCAGGGGATTCAGGGCTGTTCAGCCCCTCTGCTGGGTGAGCTGATATAAAGCCAGACCACTTTGAGCACACATGAAATTGTTTTATAATTCATCATATACTGAAGTGCTTTACAGCATCAATAAATCAAAGCTCTCTCTATAAAGAACCCCTTTAATCATCTTAAGAACTTGGCCTACTCTTGGAAATTTCCCCAGGACTCAACACTTGTAAAGAGTCACCATGTACACTTCATGACTAATACACTTTTGCTTTATTGAAGAGGAGGTAATTAAATACTTCATATAATCTTTATAAAACTCTGCTGGCTGAGTAGAATTTTTACTGAGCATTTGTTACGTTCCAACCTCTGACAAAAAAAGATGGCTGAGAGATTGGGATTATGTATAAATAGGCTTTTCCAAGAGCAACATCTTCTGAATGTGTTCATTATTTGAATTTGAGACTAATCTACTCAAGAATAAGGCAAACACTTAGACCAGTCCCTTCCTCATTATACTCACCATGCTGTAAAAAATGAGACATTACAGTTTAAGTAGCATGTTTTTATCTTATATAATGATGCTGAAAGGAAAGAGGTTACTGCATTACATTCCATAAAACAAAACCTGTCAAGTTTAGAGGCAGTATTCACAGAGAGTAATGTGTCTTACCTAATCGAATGTGATCTGTGGAGGATGCACAAGGAAAGAAAAGCAAGAGTTAAAAGTATTATGAAAACGTAACAAAAACCACACATATATATTTATAGCATGTCAAACTGCCTTAGGAGAAAAATAAAAGCATTTGCATTCAAATCTTGATGTTTGAATTCGCACTGGAATGTGGATCAGTTGAGATTCCTTCAAAGCAAAAATATTCACACAGACTCCTCCACTACACGGTCACCTATTCTGTGTGCAGAATCCCACCTCAATATCATTAAAGTATAGGCAAACTGGAATTGTACATGTACACCAGCAGTAAATGTCTTTTTTTCCCCTCTAAATTTCTTAATCATCTCTCAGTTGAGAAGGGTCGGAAAAAAACACAAAGCTTTTAATTCCTAAAATGACATTTTCTAAAATACCTGCTCCTTGTTGAAAACAATAATTGAAACACTTTGACACTGTTTTCCAGCTCACAAGGAACTTAATTAAGGCAGCAGAACTGGCAGAGGCACACAGATACACAATACTCAAAGGATGTCATTAAGGTTCCAAAGTCGAGAAATGAGGCGGCAGACAGGCTCTCCTTTATCTCTGTGTTACTGATGTAGTCTTTAATTACAGACCACTTCAAGGGAACACCTGCCTCATGCAGCGAGCCAGATAGATGGTGCACAATTACTGAACATCTCCTCGATACTTATTTTTCATATCCTTTCTCAATGTGTGGTGTGATGCATTATTTACTGCACAATAGTCATATCTTGCTCTGAAGAAAAGCATTGATTTCTTCAGGGTTATTTACAGGACCCATCATGTATATTGGTGCCTTTCAAACACTCATGGATTTATCTTCATAACACTTCTCAGCTTATACCAGCATAAGTAATGCTGTTGCCATAGGCAGCCTTCTTTTACTGCCTGCTGACTCCCAGTAACAGTCCACTCCCTTCTCCATGCTAATACAGATACAGCCACATCATAAGGAAATCTGTGATACTGCAGAGGTCCAGAAACCATCCCGAACGAAGGGGCAAGTGTCAGTAGAAATGAGAGAAATCAACTGCTTCACCCATCAGCATAGAAATACTTACAATTACATTCTGAAGCAAGACAGTATTACTGTTTCTTTTACAGGGGATGTCAGAGACACAGAGGTTTATGAATGGTAGTTTCGGTTATGACAGCTACAATATTTTAAGGAATTCAGCTCAGCAAATTCAGCAGCATTTTTAAGTGCCCCAAACATCCCTAGATCATGGAAATCCTGGAAATGATCAACAAAAGGCTACACAAAACCTCCACCACAACAACAAAAAAACCCAAAAGGCACAACAGTAAGGGCATGGCAAAAACTAACTCTCACAGCACTGAAAGAGATTCATTATACCTGAGCCATGTAAAAAAAGATATTGGCCTAACCTGCTTTATTCCAATGAGAGAGATTTCACAGCCTTCAGAAACCAGTTCAGCTGCATTTGTGAGCATTTGCAGTTCCCTATGTCCTCTTCCTACTAAAGCAGTAACACTTCTTATGCTGTATTTCACTACTTCTGTGAAAATGGAGTGGACAGCCTTATCAAAGTCAAGCTCTACCACATCTCCTGCCTCCCCTATGTCCTCTATGACAGGTGCTGTCAGATCAAGATAATTGCTCTTGACAAATCCTTTTATATTTTTGCCATTATGCTATCTCCTAGATGCTTAGAAAATAACAGGTTAATGCATCCCCCACGCACAGACCAATACCTGCTTTGTATTTCCCTGAACTTCCCTTGCCCCTTTCCAGAGGGATGAACTTTGCCTTTGTCCACCCCCCTGGGACCTCATACACCTTCTGTGCTGATTCCCATCACTTTAGAGGGACACATTCAACTGCCAGAGTCATGCCCCCAAACTCTTCCCCTCCCTGAAATCTTCTGCTTCTTTCCACATGTGCCTTCCAACTCCTGGTAGGAAGGAGGCATTATATTACCTTCATTCATCTCGAGAGCTGGCTCATCTGAGGCACTGAATTTGAAAGGGGTCTGTGTGATCATGTAATTAAAGAAAATGTACCAGACAGTTAAATGAATGATGTATAAGCAGTGTAACTGCTGACATCCTAATTTGCATGCATGCCTTTGTTAGCTTCATCTTTAAATACATTTACTTGTGTAGTAGTAATGTATGTAGTAGTACATAGTGTATATAGTTTCCTATTTTTTTTAATTACAACCCACCTATTTTTTTCTTTTTAAGCAAACCAAAAACCCAGAAAGTCTTCCACTTTGGCTTCTAAAAAGGCCATCAGCAGGGCTGAAACTCTTAGCTTCACACAGACAGCTGCAGAGTGATCCAGCAGTATTGCATGGAAAGATGCAAACTTTACCAATATGCAAAGGAGCAAGGGATAAAGACCTTCAACTCTGTATCACATCTCTGCCCTACATGGCAAAAGACACGCTGAAATGTTAGTGTAACATCTGTAAGAGCCAAGCCCACGCTACTGCCCTATGGGTCTTCCTTCTTCCCCTGTGCCTTCCTTCTCTCTTGTCAGAAAATGCTAAAGGACGTTACATGAGCTGGGGGTAGAGGGGTGTCCTGGGTTCAGCAGTAGCAGTCAATTTTTTCTCCTTCTAGTAGCTGGTGTTTTGACTTTCAGCCTGGGAACAGAGCTGATAACACCGATGTTTTTAGTTGTTGCTTAGTAATGTTTACTCTGACCAAGGACTTTGTGAGTCTCATGCTCTGCCAGGGAGGAAGGGAGGCCGGGAGGAAGCAGAGACAGGACACACCTGACCCAAGCTGGCTAAAGAGGTATTCCATACCACAGCATGTCATGACCGGGGAGGTAACTTGGAGTTACCCGGAAGGGTATGGGGCTCTCTTGTGGGTCGGACTCATTTTGGCAGGTGGTATCGTATTCTCTTCCCTTGTTATTTTCTCTTATCATTATTATTATTGGTGGTAGCGGCAGTGATTTGTGTTATACCTTAGTTACTGGACTGTTCTTATCTCAGCCCATGGGAGTTACGTTCTTTTGATTCTCCTCCCCATCCCTCCGTGAGCGGGGAGGGGGGTGGGAAGGAAAGAAGGAGGGAAAGAAGTGGGGGGAGTGAGTGAATGAGCTGCCTGACTGGTTTCAAACCACGACAAGGGGCAACGAAATATCCTGATGGTGTATCATTAATCATAAGAATCTATTATCTTAACTATATTACTAATGCCTGGTTTGTGTCCCAAAGCAAAAATCTCTGCATGCTGTTTTTACGTACTCTGGTACTTCTAGTAACATGATAATCTTAAATGGAATGCATTATAACTGTAAAGAGACCATACAAGCACTAATAATTACTACAAAATCTAGAAGATGTAAGATGCTAGTGATTATTTATGCACAAAATGAATTGCAGAGTTGGGAAGCTGGGGTGGGGATGAAAGAGAAGCACATCAGCTGTATGAAAAGCACTTTGTCCCCAAGGGCTGGTTCTTTGGGACATGTGGAATTTGGTCATTTTTCTTCCTTGTAGATTTCATCTTCTTGAATTCTAACACAGCAAAATAGCACATTTGGGGGAGTCTGTTGCTGAGATATGATATTTTTAGGAATATTTTTACAGATAACAAAAGGTGAAATTAAGACCCTGTATCTTCAGAAACGTGTTTCACTTGGTGCTCTGTATAGCTGACATAGCAGACAACCTGAAAAACAGAATTTTGTTTCACAAAGCAGGTAAGCTTCATTATTTAGAGTCAGTCTGACTACAAACACTTTCAAAATCACCACTGCCACAGGCAGGGTGTAAGACTGCTGAACATACTGGGAATTATGATGATCATCTGGATTTCAGAAATCAGTTACAAGTGTCTGCTTTAAATGAAAGCAGAACAGGGATTTGCATCTGGATACAAATTGGTGACTATCAGCCTTACTGCCTAACCAACAGAATTAAGCTACAGGGTGATGTGTGTTTAAATCAGCATTATGGGAGGGGCAGCGATAAGCTACCTAAAATGAGTTGGATTAGCAAAAAGCAAACAAACAATGAAGCATGCCTCCTTACACCTTACTCCCCCAAACAGAGCTGGGATTGGAGTGGGAGAGGGGAAGATTATTAAAACCATTTTATTTAAGTGATAAGGTTTATAGTGTGACCCCACACAGAACTGCATCTGTCCAAGCTAAGCCAAGACCTCAGCTCAGCTTTCTTGCTGAGGGAAGCATACCAACCATTACTCTAGATCTAGGCTGCTCAGCAGATGCAGAAGGCCCAACTTATTCCATGCTTTATGTAACAATGAGATGCTGGCTGTACCGCTTGATGCTTCATCATCAAGCATCAAGAAAATTCTCCTTAACAGAAAACAGCAAGTGTCCACAAAAAAAACAATGGCAGTGCTGGTAGTTCATACTTTCCTGAGAAATTCCCAACCAGGTTCAGGGTAATAACTTCAGTCAAAGAAAGCTACTAGAAACAAGCTTTTTGATTAATCAAAATGTTTATGGACTTAGCCTCTGCTTTGAGCCCTTGGCTAAACAGCTAATGGGATAAACACCACCCATCTGCTTTCCAAGCAGTAGTCAGAAGCATGACTGCCATGGGGGTCAGGGATTGATACTGATAGATAAGGCAAAAGAATATGGTAGCCGTGATTAATTCAGGGAAATATTAAAGGAAAAACATGCTTTACTGTAGTGAAGGCATTTCTGACATTGCAGTTAATCCCTCACCCTATGCAAAGCAGAAACAACAGGACCTGACAAGCACCTAAGAAGTCCTGAATTGTTAATCATCCTTCCCTCTATTATCAGGAGCCAGTGTTCAAGCTATTCTCATACCAGCTCTTTGCTCAGTGCTGTAGAATCTAAAGCACGGAAGCAGCACCAGGACCTATTCACTGAGTAGTGAGCTTTTATTTTTTTACAGGAGAGAGTGTTAGGAAAGAACAGAAAATGAAATAGAGGGTATAACATCTCATGCATTTCTCAAAAATATAGAACACAATTCTAAATGCAGGAAAGGCAGAAAGAATAAACAAAAGTAGGAAAAAGGCTTGTGACAGCAACTCATGCAACTGAAGCCTCAGCCTGGAAAAGAGGAAACTAAGTAAGTAGGTTAAAACTTAAACAGGGGAACTTTACACTGGATATAAGGAAGAAGTTCTTTACTGTAAGGGTGGTGAGGCACTGGAATAGGTTGCCCAAGGAAGGTGGGAATGCTCCATCCCTGGCAGTGTTAAAGGCCAGGTTGGACAGAGCCTTGGGTAAAATGGTTTAGTGTGAGGTGTCCCTGCCCATGGCAGAGAGGTTGGAACTAGAGGATCTTAAGGTCCTTTCCAACCCTAACTGTTCTATGATTCTATGGTTCTAAGTATCACATTCCTCACTACAGAACATAGGAGACTGAAAAGTCCTTGATCAGGGTAAGTGCTACTTAGCAACAAGTAAATCATCAGCGTGTTATCAGCATTCTTCTCAGATTAATCTAAGTCAAAACACAGCATTGAACCAGTTAATAGGAAGATAATTAACTATCCCAGCCAAAACCAGGACAGTGAAATACAATAAAACCACAGGAAATCATGAGTAGCATGAAGGACAGCAGAAGGACTACACTCAGTGCTTCTCATAATAGAAGGGCCAGAAGACATCAAAGGGAAGAGCAGGAAGACTGACAATAGCGAATGAATGAAAGAAAAAATAAACCACACACTTCTCTACCACATGACTATCTGTTCATCTGGGAGACAGGAGGTGTTATGAAGGTCGAAAAAGCTGATACAAGTTAAAAAACTTTTAAATGAAGTTTTTAGCTCTCAGATTTCTGAATACTAAAAAATGTACTAGGAAAATGTAACTGCATGCCTCCTTATTCTGATATCCATATACAGGCATATAAATGTTTAACTGTACCAAGTCAAACAATTCTTAGTTTATGTTCATACCCTGATTACAAGTCACTCACTAGATTTCCATTTTATACTGCAATGTGGGAAAAGACATTGTAAAGCAGATGACACAGCAATGAAGATTTTCCTTCTTTAATTTCACATAGAAAAACAGTAGCACTCCCATACAGGGTTTATTAAGCTGTACATAAAGGTAGGTATAAAGGAGGGACTCTAAAGTTTTCTTAAGATTCAGATTAAAAATGAAAAGGGGAAAAAAAAGTTTTATCTGCCAAGAGCTATGCTCCAGCCATTTGCAGCAAAAAAATCCAAACCCATATGTATTTGAAAAACTGTAAAATGGATTCATACAGCTCTTCACATATGGTTATCTCCTTCATTATAAAATGGCCAAAAAAAAGTGAAAACATACCAATATCTCTAATAAATGTGACTAATCATGCAGCTCAAACAATATACTGTACAGTTACCCATGTCCATTTATTTCATCACAAAAAAAAACAAAGAAAAATCAACTCCCTAAAACACCTGAGAAATTCTGTAATGCTGCTACAAAGTTGAAAACTGAAGTGCTGGCTTACAGTGTACAATTTTTCATTTATGATCTTATTGTGAGGAAATTTAAGATCAATACTTTAAAAGATACATCAACATAAAAAGCCTTACATTCAGGCTGCATTTAAGTGACAGCTCATCTCCTGACCTCAACTCCTGCTACTTTCATCGTATCTTTTTTTTATAAATATAACTGCAAAACACAACTTTCATTTGTACATCTTGAAAAAGCTGATAAAAAATAGCCCTGTCTTTTTTAATTATTATTTATTTATCTTTCCACAAGCAGCTGCAAGGCAGGCTTGTTTTCTACAGATGACAGTGGCCTTCAGAATCCGTGTATGAATAAAACTGGGTTAATAAAGATCTAACAGCAATTTTTCGTTCTATTTTACTTGCACATTTCCTTGAGGTTGCCAAGTTATTCCAAAAGGATTTCAAATTGCACCTTTTTTTTTTTTTTTAACTAGGACTCAGGTAAGAATTATATTTTCATTTGTCACTATCCCTTCTTTTTGTTTGAAGTCAAACTATTTTGCACACTGATGACAAGCTACTTGAATGTTTAAAATGCTAATGCAGAAATTAAAAAAAAACCTAATTGACAGATGACTTATACTGTTTGTTCTCCAAATAAGACCAGAGAAATAGCAGATCCCTGTACCTCATATCTCCAAACTTCTTGCTGATAGCAGTTCCTACATTGCTGATAGCTGCTGTTGCTTTTTGTCCTGCATGGCTCAGGGTCTCATGTGTTTTCTTGTAACTGAAAAAAAACAAACAAACAAAAAAACGGAAGCAGTGATAAGTACTAACAGAGGCCAGAATCCCCTGCAATTAATTCCCTTTTACCTTATCTCCACATCTTGAAGTCCCATCCACAGAAAGATTAAGAAACACAGTAACTGCAGCACAAAACAAATTACAAAACTGCCTGCTTCTGCACAGCTTCCTAAGTGCAGTTTAATCCTAACATGAGCAGAACACACTCCAGAACAATCCTTAACTGTATCTCGCCCTCTTCCAGGTAACATCCCTTGAGGGCAGCAGCAACGCAGTTTGAAAGTGCAATGCAGTGATTTGTTGAGTCTGATACAGTTTCTGCTTATAGAAAATAATATTTACATCAAACAAGCATTCTTGCAGCAGATACCAAGTTGGTAGCAAAATCTGCTGTCTAGAACACAGAAAAGAATCAGGACATACACAACCCTGCCTTTCTGTGCACATACATATAAGGTACATTTAACATACACTCCAAAATTATTTGTTGATATTTCAAATTAGACAAAATTTACCAAATCTGTTCCCATATGCCTCAATTTTACTTTTAACAGAAATTTCTTTAAAGGAAGAAGGCTTTGGGAGACACAGAGAAAGAAAATAAAAAATCCATACCATGAATGCATATTCTTACTAGGACTCAATCCTTTCAGAAGTCATTCAATGCATGTGTAGTATATACATTCAAATACAGAATCATCTTAATTTACTGATCCAGAATACATACTCTGACCCACATAGACCCGTTAGTATAGTTAAGTTGCTTTCTCAGAGTAATCAATAAGCTTTTCTGCACAGATGGTTTTTTGCTGACTGAACTAACTCTCAGCAAATTGGAGACTTCCTTCCAAGTAAATTATCTGATACTCCCAGTGATGCAGACAAGCTCGGAATTAGAAGTACTGACCTAGTAACAAAAGCAGAGCACCTTACAATCAGTCTTGTATCCTGTGGTGTGCGGTGGCAGGCAAGAACTGAAGAAATGATCATGAAAAATTCAGAAATAAAATTCTACTGGTTCTAATTCTCCTTTGAACAAAATCTGTAAGATTGCAAATGTGTACCAAAATACGCCGGAGACAAATAAAAAAACCCCACTGCCTAATTCCTGAAACAGAGTATTTTCTTCTTATTTTTAGGTATATGAAAGCAGTATAACTTTGTGGATGCAGGAGGGGAAATAAGAGAAGATTAACATTTGCAATACAGCACATCACATTTTATGTCAGGTCCTTTTAGCCCTAGCAGTACCTATTGCTTAAAGTCATTGTCGAGGACTGTTTTACAAACGACAAGTTAAAAGGCAGATGCCATGTAATGCTCTGTTCTTTCATACAACATTCTTTCAACAATGAATCTTCCCCAACACAAATATTTTGATCTTAATGTTCCTAAACCACAAAGTTTCTTACAGACTACTGATCTAACAAGTTCTAAAATTGCCAAGTGAAATGGCTGCTCCTATGAAGCCGTCTGTTTTGACTGACTAGCAAGGCAGTCTACAGGGAGCAATTTAAGACTAGTGTACCAAATCTCTAGAAACCTAGAGAATGATAAGCTGAATCAGCCACATACACAATGTTGAATGACAACAAGGGCTAAAACATTGCAACAGTGACCACAAATTAGAACTAGAAAGGAAGGAACACTGGCTATGCCTGTTTTATTCATTCTGGTGGAATACAGAGACAGAAAAGACTGGTTTCACTGTGTTTCCTTTCTCCTCAGCCAGTCTGTCCCTGGATGTTGCAAGACTGCAATGCTCTTACTTCAGAGACCGCATTCTCTAGCTCAACTAGTTTAATAGCTCTGTCACTCTCTTGCTGTCAGGGGACGTATTCTCATATAAACTAGGGTTGCATGAGACCCTAAACCAGACGTTAATGAAGCTTCAGTTAAACTGTGAGCACATAGCTGACAAATGTTGCCTATGGGGAAAAAAAAAAAAAAAAAAAATCAAATAAATCAAATATTCTAATGCCTGTGGCATTGAAGTCTTTAGACATTTTGCTAGCAGAGAAGCTTCCCAAACCATTCAGCACAAGTGGAATTTTGCTCATGACAAAATGAAGGTCAAGACTTGACTTCCAGGTCTAAAAGGTCTTTGGTATCAGAACCTATATATGTACAGGTTGACTGTGCATAGTAAAATACTTTGTAGATCTCCTTCTGCAGTGATTTTTTTTGTTTGTTTCAGGTTTTTGGTTTGGTTTGGGTTTTTTTGTTTTGTTTGGGGGGGTTGTTTGGTTGGTTGGTTTTTGTTGGTTGGCTTTCTTTAAAGACACCCTGGAGTGCCACACAGGCATATTTAGTTTAATGACAAAACATCTCCATGTCTTACCTTTCTGCTGCAGGTTCTTCACACTGTGTAAAACTGTTAAAAGAATAGTCCTAAATGGCCCATACAGCAGACAGACTCAAATTCAATTGAGAAACATTAGAGTCCCCTAGTATTTCTGTACATTACATTGGTCAGAACACACCTTCTGGGAACTGGCTGAAATTACACTGATTTTGGTGTTCCAACTAATATTATGTTTTTCCCTTTAAATCCCATGAATCCAATATTCTCCCCAGAATTTCCAGTAGCAAGGAAGACATGGAGCCTGCATTTATGTTCCTAATATTTTTGATAGTACGTAACACTGTAAATCCAGCTAAGACTGTTACACAACTGGTCTTTTTTTCAGCACTAACTTCAGCAAAACCGACCTTTGACATGAACCCCTCTTCCCTTTGGCAATGCTGAAGAAGAGCTTTAAGGCACAACAAAATAACACAGCTAAAGATGCAATGCAACATGCAATGCCTGTCATGAAAGACAAAAATCAGTAATTTGCATTTTAGTCGAGCTCACTTATAGCTCAAAAATAGGCCACTCCATCCCTGCCTCTCCACCATCATGCATAGTACTATGCCTTCTTCATAAATAAATTATCTTTCCACAGAGCACATTGCCTTACTGTAGTTAGTTATGCTCTGTATTGATCTATAGCAAGTATTTTGGCTCAGATATTTTTACCATTGTATTTATGTCAGATTTACAGCATTCATTTGATGCCAAACACTCTGGTAACCATGAGCTTTTCAACAGGTCTCTGAAATCCTGGAAATCCTTCTCACTTGTATGTAGCATAAATAATATGAGCCAGCCACATCCTCGTGTAACACAGGTTTGCAGTTTTGCTTTAATGCACTGAAGAGTTTACATTATTTTCAGAAACCTTAAGCGTAGAAATAAAGTTGGATATTCCAGGTAAAGCTTACATTTATTCACTGGAGTGCTATAAGTATGGCTTATGTCCCTCTAAACCACCAGCTGTTCCAGCATGCTAAATCATTTACACCACCTGTGTTTTCTCATCCTTTGAGCCATTGTGGGCAAGTACAGACTGCCCAGCTCATGAGGACAGGTGACAGCAGCTCAGCAATCAGTCAGCCATTGTGTGAAATAAGATCATTGACACTAAACCTTAAGGCATAAGTGCTCCAGTAGAAACAAACTTGAAGAATTTATAACACAGAGATTCAAGAATTACCACCTTCACACAAAGATGTCATTAGGCTCTGTGCCTCTCTTTATTAATACAAAGTAACCATAACTTCTCTGAGTTTAACAATGTTATGCCAGATGCCCAGCAGCATTAGTGAAAGTAGAAACAGTCTATCTGATTCCTGCTGTTAAGAGTGGGAATGCCTTCTCTGGTTTTGTGGCATCTAAACATATGCCATAGCACAGAATAATTGCTGGAAGTGGCTAAAAAGGATCATATTCCATGCTTTTTACTTAACACTTAAGAATTAATATTTCTACTGCATTTCATACATAAAAAGGATTAAACACAGTATACGAATTCCTGTCACAATTGTAACCCTGTTAAAAACTCATCTGTGTCATCTTGGATGTTACCTTTTTATATTACATTAACATAAGAATTTCATCCATCAACTTCAGATTATAAATTTTTTTTAAATTGGGTATTTCTTTAACAAAAGCAATTATTTATAAAACTGATTATTAGAGGTTATCATAAAATCTGCTGATATTGCAGTTAAATTCTGATAATATGCCCAGCACACTTAAAAGAAGCTTTAAAGATAACTCATATCCCCATCACTGTAAGACACTAATTAGGCAAAACAGATTTGCAGCATATTTTGACTGCATTTTCACCTGACAGTTTACTGCATTTGGCTTGTACTATCATAAGACAGCCAGGTCTCACTAGCTGATTTTTACAGCCAGTGACAGCACATGAAAGAACATCCCACTTCATAAAACACAGCATGTGAAGAAAAGAGTGCTTCAGATAGAGCATAGTCAGGTAGCAGACGTATAGAAAGGTCAGAGAACTGGACGTTTAAATGCATCCTGGATGTTTAAATGTTCATATGCAGGATAAGCCAAGGTAATCATACTGCATGCTACCTGATCTCATCTCAACCCAGTACAGAATTGCCCTTCACATGGCAGAGTTAATCTAACCTTCCTTCATAGGGGCAACATAGGGGCTGCTGACAGAAGTAGACTACCAATATAATATTTATATTTTGCATGGCATAGTCAACCTATTGCAGTAAATTATAAGGAACTTACATTCAGCTTCTGTAAAATCAGTACATCTGCTAATTAGCACATCTTCATTCAGCACTGTGCCTCTCCATCAATGCTTGCTTGCAAAATTAATCAATTTGAGAAACCCTCTTCTGTGATAAAGCTTACATAAGATGCAACAAAATGCAAACAATTAACAACAAAACCATACAGTAGAGCAGAGCCTGGTAGCACAAGCCATGGCCTATGGAGCTTGCTTAGTTTTCAAACCATTAGTCCGCTTAAGAATGACATTTCTGGAACCAATGTAAAACATCTGGATCCCTGAGAAACCCTCAGCTAGAGAACTATTTTTCTTGTTGATTTTCTGGGAGAAAAAGAAAAACAAACCAGGGCTCAGCATTAACCGAGTCATGCTAATGTTCTAATGAAATAAATGCATATTTACACAAAACATTCTGTAAGAGCATTCATATTGCCATTTTGCCCACAAATAAACTCTAAGGTGGTATGCTTTTTTATTACTTCTTTTTTTTTAGTGCTCATCTGAAATTTACTCCAACTTCAAAACCAAACAACAGATGTACTTTTTTTAGACATTCTTCCCTTTGCCAAGTATGTTAAGAATTAACTGAAACTGTGCTGGCACTTGGGTGGGTACATATGCCTAAAGCAGTCAAAGGAAGTATGCCCCAGGCAGTTCCTCTCCCACAGAGGGTGGAAGGGCAGAGTTTAGGGAACTGAACCTCTGCAGTTGGCAGGGGACCTGCCTGCAGCCAGAAATCTGTGTGCAACATGCAGAAGATGACTGTTCAGTAGGCTGGAAAGTCACAGGTCAGGAGGGGTGCCAGACAAAGGTGACAAATATTCCATGCTGTCCTGCACTGTAATCTTAAACGTTGGAAAAAATTTGGGATACAATTGTGTGAAATGCGCTATTTGTGCAATGCATGATAGAATAGGGGAAGAAAAAGCTGTTGTGGTATCGTTAACTTTCAGGTAGAAAAGCCACAATATGTTGGCTTAAGCACAGATGAGTTTAAGATGTTCCAGGCTGAAACTTCACAGTTCATCACACCTTAAACTATATCAATAACACTGTCTGTGGGCTCTGTGCTGTACACTAGATCAACAAAATTATGCACATTAAACGTATTCCAGCCTCTCTTTTCCTTTCTTCCTTTGCCTTTCTTTCCTACCGCTCCATTTCTCTTCCTTCTGTTTCCTTCTTTTCTTTCCTTTATCCTTTTTCTTCCTCCCCCCCCCCCCCCCTTTTTTTCCCTTTGTTTAATTTCTGTTTTACCTTTTCCTTCCATTTCTCCTTTTCCTTCCCTTTCCACTGACCCTTTCCTGGATATTTTTAATCCTGGTAATCTGAGTCTCCAATTTACACTCAGGCCTCCCCTTTCTTTCTTAGCTACATACATACATACAGATAACTATAATATACACTTACGTATTTTCTGGTGCCCAATGATAATTACAGTGGGCTTTTCCCTGAGAAAATAACACTATATTCATCAATATGGAACAGATCACCCAACCTTGCTGTGGATTTTCCATTAGCTGAAAGCTCTGATGTAAACAGGTGGAAAAGTAACAACAAGAATAGACAAAGATAACTTCTTTCTCCAACCTTACTACTCCATCCTTCAAACTTCAAAGCCAGAGATACGTGTGGAAAAGGGAAAAGCAGCAAAAAAATTACCTTTTAAGAAGCCATGAACATTGCCTGATTTGACCCAAAGGACACAAATTCAGTGGAAGTGAGAGGCTTCCTTTACTTCCATACAACACAGACTCACAGGCAGGTAATGTGCTTGCTAAAGCCAACATATAATTTCTTCACTTACACAACTGCTACACTTGCAGATTTAGAAAAGAAAATGTTAAAAGATGATTACATATTACAATGAACAGAAACACCCACAATTCTTTTACTACCACCTATAACAAGGTGGGGGGGAACACAGTATGCCAAATTCCTAAAAGTCACAGTAGGACTGTGGTTGTCCACAAATTATATTTGACTTCCTGAGAAAATTCTGAACCCCTGGAACATTACTGTATATTTAAAGTTACACTAATGAAGACTGCAAGTACTTCAGATTGTAAATCCAAGACACATGCAGCGCAACTATTATTTTCTATTTTCTCATTACCTGGCAGAAATTTGAACTACAAAATGGTAAGTTCCCACTATTTGTGGAAACCATACAGTTGTCCTCAGGTTCTCTATCAGCAGAAGTAAGCCTGCTCACATAGCTTTCAGCCAGTAGCAAATGAAAAGATCTTTATTCTGTGTGTGAAGGGAAAGGACAAGTCCATGTTGAATGTTCGTCTCAAGTAATTACATGTAAGAGCAGAGCAACATTGAAACCTTCCTAAAAAGGCTTCAAAAGACAACCACCACTTGAGAAAGCCCCAGGCACCAGCTTGGAGACATGCTGTTTGCAGTTAGCACTTATAGTTCTCTTCATTCTGGCTTCTAATTCATTATATATATTTTCCCTTTCTAGAACAACTGACAACTTTTGTCTGTGAGGGCAAAAGATGAAGTAATTTTGAAAACAGTTTTGTGAGATTCCTGTCCTAAATGGCAGTCTTGCATGGGTCCATTTTCCATCACATCATAGGCTTCTCAAACCCCTGGCTGGCATCAGTAATCATATGGGCTTTGAGATATTTCATGCCAATATACTATTACAGCCCCCAAGGAGACAATGGGTTTTCGTTAAGTTCTTAGCCATTCTAATAGTTTACTGGCCATGGCAGAACTGCTGCTGACAGTGGTCTGAACATCTGGAGTATTGGTTTGC